TTCTGGATCATCTGCCAAGAACGTATATGAACAGGTCCCAGTCCGAGAAAAGGATGGAAGGATCCTGTTCATATGGACCTGTCCTCAGACAGAACACTAAATAAATATAAAAAATAATACACCAATCCATTTTTGGTGTTCTCGATAGATCAGAATGCTGATGTTCGATAAGATAATATGTTTTTCTCTCCCAGTTATATTTCTTTCTTAACGTCACTGTCTCGTGGGTCAACTTAATAGAAAATGCAGATAAGTAAACTTCTGTAATGAATCTTGAATTGCTTACTGTAGGAACAGGCACTCAAAACTCTGTGGCAGTGCCGTTTTTAAAATGACGTGGCTGTTCCTAGGGCCGTCACGCGGTTGACTAAAATTATAACCGCATACTTTTATTAAGTCCAGGCTTAAGATTGTGGTGTGTCTTCGTTCCGCTTTGATGGTTTCTTGAAATAGTCCACAACCACTGCCTCTCCATTCTTTTCAAGCGACTATGCCCAGACATCATTCGACGCTGCATAACCCCAGAAGTTGAAACAGCATTGTTAAATAACTTACTGCTCTAATTTTACATTCGTCCTTGGATTTTCAATTTGGACAGATACATATTTTGGTTAAGATTAATTAAAATGGTAATGTGTCATAAATATTCGGATTTATTTAAAATATTCTTGATGCTCTGAAAATTTTAAATGTGTAAAACGCGTTAAATTTTGTATCTTTCAATGCGAATGCGATAGCCTCTGATCTGAATGTAATAGTCTCATAGTGAAGTTACGCACTGAATTTCAACTGCCCAAGGGAATAATTTTTCTCTTTTTAATATGGATTCTGTATGCGACCATAAAATATATATATCTCTCTCTGTTATACAGAGGTTATGAAATTAATTATAAATAAAATCGTTTAAAGCAAACATTTCATATTTTCTACTGATGACATGCTCTGTTCTGTTTGTTCTGTTACTGTGGTACAGTTTGAACTACTTAATCAACATTTGATTGCGTCTGTTCCATTTTCGGTAATTTTTCATTAAACCAGAATGTTTTTTGTCCTCTATTACATTTTGAGGTCTCCCTCCACGAAATTAAAACTCCTCATGACCTCTTACGAAACTCTCAGTAAATCAAAGTAATCTTATAACCAACCTGGCCTCTTAACTCTGTGTTCACAGGCTTTGCGACCACTTGAACAAGAAACTGACCACTCATATACTTCTATTGTAAACATTTGTAAGCGAATCCTTTGCTAATGCCCTCATCTGTCCTAATGAAATGGTATTTGCACAGAGGTTAGATTTAACCTTACCGAGATCTGAAGTTGTCACAGCGACTAGGACGCTGTCTTCCGGGATCTTCATCATTTAACATCTCAGTATTCAGCCGACTTAAAATTTAAGCTTGTTTATAGGCAGAAACATTTGAATCTAATATTTATTTTACTGATACATCTCCCTTAATTAAAACGTATAATCGCATTTACTGCCATATAAAATATTAATACGACAAAAATATTTCACACTGCAGGCATGCCGATATAATTATGGACGCACTATTTGAGGTATATTTGATTGGCGTACATTATATGTCTTTGAGCTAGGTGTACTCCCACAATTGTAATTACATGTTTTGCTATTTTAATATTGATGAGCAGTGGTAAACATTTACTGTTGAAATGAATCAAACATCGTGTTAACGCTTTAGAGAATCTCACGCTATACTATTAACCCAGTTCTTAATCCTTAAATTACGCCACGACCTCGTCCTAGCATATACGAGTAGTTTCTGGTTCATTATTCGTTAATGAGCCGATCATTTGATGGCGTGTTGTTTGAGCTGCTGATAGCGTCGTTAAATATATCACAAGCAAACAACATCACATCGACTTTTATATGACGCAACTGTCGATGCGTGAACACATTAAAAATTCGTATATATTCTGTTACAGCGTGTCGAACGAATCAGAACTGTGACAGTGGTGAGTGAGACAGATATCGAACCCATATGCTTTCAAATACGATGATGAAATCATTGTCGAATAGTCGTTCAATATGAGAATAGCGTAGAAGAAATTCAACTACAAAAAACATTTTGGTTACGCTAAATTTTAGTTTGTATTTCATTTCTGTAAGATTTATGTTGACAGTCGCGAATCAACAACGCGACTGAATGGGTTTTAAACCAATTAACCAATTAATTAATGGACTACGAGAAGACAACAGTGGTCATAACATACAACTCTAGCGGGAGAGAGTGAAATTTGTTGAAATTGCAGTACATTCTATTGACAGCGAGTGAAATAGAAGTGTCCAGCTAAACCAATGACAATAGCGATCCACTTAAATGGGTTTTTTTACTGCAAAATGCCAGAAGAGCTAGGATTATAGGCTACCATTGTACAGTATCTTCACCAATGGACGTATTGAGTAAGCCAATACAACATTTAAACAGATAGCAATGTACAGACCGGTACTACAAGGCTTCTTAGGAAGTTCTACGGTATACTAGGACTCGAGTTCTTAATATTATTGTTACTACAGAAGGAGAAGACAATCTTTGTTATCATTTTAACAGTCTTCTCCTCGCTGTATGTATTTTATACCCTGAGGATGGCCACTCTGTGAACCGAGGTATTGAATCCCGCAGGGACCTCATGGAAATTTGTGAAGTTACTTAATATGTAACAAGGTTTATATCTGTCATCATTCATATCTTGTAGTGGGGTGGTCTAGCGGTCAGAACACTAGCCTTGTAAGCCTCGGGTCCCGGGTTCAATTCCCGGTGGTGCTCAAATTTATAACTTGTGTTGGGCAAGGCCGTGGTCTAGGCATCACGGAGTTTTCCTCCGGGGGCTTCTTCCCCGGTTTCTCCGTGGCATCCCAACAATTACTCCATTCACACACAGAAGAAGGCAATGGCAAACCACTTCTGGATCATCTGCCAAGAACGTATATGAACAGGTCCCAGTCCGAGAAAAGGATGGAAGGATCCTGTTCATATGGACCTGTCGTCAGACAGAACACTACAAAAAAATAATTTCTATTTTCGTGTCTATGGGTCATATCGTTGGCATTTATTTTAGAAAGTTTGGTTTTGTGCTAAAATAGTAAGAACTCTGTTTGAAAGGTAACGTTAAAACGTTAACTAAAAAGAGTAATTCATTACGAAGCAATAATTTCAAGGGGTTAACGTTACTTTATACATAAAAATCCGGTGATTCCAAATTATTCTTCATATTTATTTTGCTTTTTTAAGTGTAATGCCATAGAAATAATTTAGGAGTTTCTAGGATAATCGATATTAGTCCAAAATGACCAAAACTGAACTCGTTGGAGGATAATATTGTTCTGGAAAAAATCGCATTCATCTAGAAGAAAACGAGTAGTGCCTCTACTGGCGTATTTTTCGAACAAGAGCAGCGTATGTCCATTTTTTTTTTTCCACCTACGACACTGCATTTATATTCGTATGTTGTAACACATGCAAATGAGTTGTTACAAAATAAGAATGTAAATGAATTTCTCGCTGGTCCAGATAATGTTTTTTTTTTGAGTTCCCAAACAAATTTAATTTTGGACTTACGTTGTTTTTGTCAGAAACCCGTAATTTGTTTGAAAGCCTTAGAATTCTGACGACCTGATACGTGGTCCAGTTGTAAGTCGTGGGCTGCCTTCAGTTTGAACAGGCCTGTGGTTTTGTAACAGTACAGCTCATACGCAGTGGAACCAATAAGCTACTCGTATTTATTGTACACATTTTGGTTTTGGTTTCGCTGGATCAAATTCAGGCAGAAACCTCTGATAGGAACGTTAATAACTAATTTGTAGGACGTTATTCTGGTGTGGTATACGCTTCACAAACAGCATTTCTATGCGAGACAGGGTTACACATGATATGTCAGAGATTAAACTTCGTCTAGGATTCTGCCTCATTTCACTAACTGATTAAATACTGAATTGTGGTTGTCAAACACAAAGTGGCCTTTGCAAAATCATATTGATTCCGCGAAACGATTAAATTCCTACCGTTTCTAAAACTGATTTTTTTTTTTGGAATTTTGTATAAAGCAGGTCTAGAATATCTTTTTTCCCCACATGCTCACAAAATTATAACCCATCTTAATAATATTTAGAAGTTTATTTCTTACCTCAAAAAACAAAGATCAATTTTTTTAATGTTATTTGTGGAAATAGTAGCTGTTTATTCTCAAAATTATGCGAAATATATGCGTACGCTATGTGGGGAAAACACAGATTTATAGACTGTCGACACTTTGAATCCGAAGCTCGTGTAAATAATATTAAAGAATTCAGTTCGTACCGCAAAGAAAACACAACTCATCACCATTACATTTATTAACCGGTTAATACTGTTTAAGAAAACGATATTTTTTTACAGTGAGAATCGTCCTAAACCCATGAATTTAAAACTAATTATTTTCGGTTGTTGAATCAGGTGAGACATTTAGTTATCATTAGGTTTTGAAGAGACGGTACATATAATTTTAAAATATTAGACACACTAAAACAATGTAAACGCTTGTTAGTTTTATTCTTAATATGACCATTTATGTAATTACTACTACGTTACAGCCCTGTAATTAACACAGAAGGACAATTGTACTTGGTACAGAGTGTGCTGTTCGAAATGAAAACGCCTGAGACATGTGGTCTTATCTAAATATCGGCTAGACCGCAGAGGGGTTTTTTGATTGACAAAAGGGTTGGATCTGAGGCTCTCGTGTCTGCAAGTGTGAAGATGGTTGTCTTCTAGAGCTCATAGCCCTGATGATGGAGGCACCGAAGACCTCCGAAACGTCAGTCAGTATCTTCCAGACTACACGGCGCAACAACCCAGAAGACAGCCATCTTCGATAAAACGATTGTATCATCCAGTTTAATGTTTTTTTTTCAGGTTTTAATTAGAGTTTCGCATAATTGTGTTGGAGTGAATGTGCAGGTATCGAGAACGATGTAAGGTTCATGAGATTTTCGTTGATCTCAGGACAACTGTGCCGATTTCGAGAGTCAGGTGTCTGCTCAGTGCGACGCCCTGGTGGAAGCGATCCATCGGCGCAAGCAGGAGCTGTTGGAGTTCATCAGGCAGAACAAGGAGATGAAACTGAGAACGCTCAAGGACCAGGTGTCCACGTGTACCTGCAAACTCCAGCACACAACCGGTCTGCTTCAGTTCTGCATCGAGGCCCTCAAAGAGACAGATTCTGCCGCTTTCCTGCAGGTACCGTCGATCTTTCAGCTTATCGATTGATCGATCGATGATCGATCTGTTCTTGTTTTGAAGATGACTGTATAGTCTGGTAGATACTGACCGACATTTCAGAGATACTTGCTACCTCTGTCACTAGGGCGATGGAGACAGTAAATACCTCCGAAACGTCGGCGAGTATCTACCGGAATACACGGCGAAACATCCCGTAAGACAGTCGTCTTCTTACTTGTAGCCGTGAGAACCTAAAATCTCACTTGCGTTGACAGGTTGGTTCCATGCTAATAACGAGGGTCGCTAATGTTGACATCACTTGGCACAAGGACGTTGTGACGTCACCGAGAATATCACACGAATTCGATCTCACTTTGGAGGACAAGTCTGTGCTGAGGGCCATCGAACAACTGAACTTCATTCAGATGAAACGTAAGTAGAATTTCATGTTACATCAGTGTGTGAGCTGTCTGCCTTGTTTTAACGTTGAACACCTACTGAGATAAGAACGAACATTTGGGGAGGAGGAGGGGGGGTTAGACTGTGAAGGTTCCCAGGCAGTGCCCGCTGGTCCTACTGGTAAAGGTAGGTTTACGAGAAAATTAACAGAGGAGAAGCCAACGAGGTCTGACTGCAATGTATCGGAGTCTTAGCTTTAAGGAAGCTAGTCTAAATTCAGTCCGTACCACAAAGAAAACACAACTCGTTACCATTACAGAGATCACCTGGTCAACGCTGTTTGCTCTGAGAATAATACGAAACACATGCACTCTGTTGGCAAAATGCAAAATTACCGATTGTTAAAGCAGGTGGTTGTATTACCACCGGCCAGATATTTTTGGATATTAAGTCGAGAGGGGTGAGATGGACTGGGCATTTAACACGCATAGATCTAGAAGACGATTCAGAAGACCTAGGCGTAGATGGGGATTATATTAAAATGGATGTCAGTGAACCAGGGCAGGAGGATGGGGGTTGGATTAATCTGGCTCAGAATATCTCCTGTGAAGACGGTGGTGAACATTCTGGTTGCCATAAAATGAATTTCTTGAGTAGTTGAACGACCTTAAGCTACTCAAGAAGGATTTTTCTCCATGGAAACTGTCTCTTTGAGGCATTTGGCCATCTCACAGCACACAAAGTGCGATTCTTTGTACCAGCACGAGTTTATTCGAGCTGTTGAGATTTCTCGTACGTGCCACGTACGAATGTAGTGTTTGCGATGTGTGTTTATTGTATCATTTCGTTCTGTGATGCTTTCAGTGTGTTTGATGCCTAACGTAATTTAAGTGCATTTGTATTTCTGATAAGCTTCATTACACTTCTTTGCTTTGTTTCCCTTTCTTAACAAAGCTGCCAAAGATGGAGAGGAAAGGTTACCAGCAGGTAAACGTGCTTTTAAATAATTTTATACTTCATTTTATGTTTCATTTTTTTTTTAAAAGTATTATACGAGGTGCGATCGGAAAGTTTCTAGACTGCGCCTATAAAAACCCGTACACTTATCTCAGGTATTAAATTCATCCATCACCCTCGAAGTAGTTCCCCTGGGAGTGAACACAACGATCCCAGCGCCGCTGCCAAGCCTGGAAGCATCCCTGGAAATCTTTCTTTGCCAGCCTGTCAAGCACCATCTGCGAACCTGCCTGAATCTCTTCTATCGTCTCAAATCTAATTCCCTTTAGCTGACTTTGGCCAAATTTGATGCACACGCCATTCCGAAATCGCAGGAGGGTCGGTGTAATGCACTACCAAAACGCCCGTAACTAAGAAACAAATGCTAATTCGATGATGCCGGCTGGCACACTGATTCACTATGAATGTAGGCCGCACCCCTTAGCGGCAGAAGCTCGTACTACATCCGGTTCGCCCTCTATTGACACAGTCTTGAAACTTTCCGATCGCACCTCGTATGTCTTAAAGGACCCATAGTTAGAGGCTTGTGGTAGATTCTCATGTTGGCATGTCTTTATCTAAGGCTTTTATTATGTGCGCTTAATTCTGTTGGATTTATCTAAGAATTTTATGTTTTATCGATAATGTAGTTTACTTTTATAACATAATTTGAAGAAACGGGAGTTCTGTGAAGTAGATTTTGAGTGTCTTTGAACTTTATAAAAAATTTGTTGTCTGCGTTAATTTAAATTACATAAGAATTTGTCAGTCAAGTATAATAAACAATTAATTACGAAACTTGGTTACTTTTCCTTGTGCAGAATTGCGCATTCTGCGTGAAAATTATAAATACAACCCCAGATATTCGTGTTGTGGACATGTTATACATTTTAAAATGGTACCTAGTATTTGGAGAGAGATGTGTACCGTTCAGAACATAACTTTCCTATAAGTAATAATTCTTCAGTTGTCGTGATGCCAAATGAGCTCAGTATTGCGCGTAACCGCCATTGTGCTGTGGTCGTTGTTTTAAAAATTGAAAACAACGAAATTTCTTATTTTCAATAGTAGAGTTGTAGACTTTTATGAAGTGTTGTTCCCCAATTTTCACCGAATGTGATTTTTTTTATATATATACTACTCATTCGCACAAACGTATGACGTAAATGTGATACGTCTTGTCGAAAAATTTGTGACAACCCTTCAGAACAACTTGTTGCTTAGTTTTGTAGGTTCAGTCGAGAAGAACGTTCGATTTTTGTACAGACTGCTATTTTTAGTTACAATTTCCGCCTTGTGAGAAGAGCAAACGGATATCAACGAACAGGAACAGCCCGAATGATTTCTTTTTACGTAACGTTCCAATATCCGGCATTGCTCTCTGCCCTTACGTGCTTATATGCACGTACCCTGTGGGAAGAAAATTGCTTTCTTTCAGAACACGTGATCTTATATGAGGAAACTGTGTAACTGAGTCCTCAAAATATGGGTTTCTTCTTTTAGTAATTTTCTTTTGAAGCGTAAGGTTTATCTAAATAATAAGTTATTTAAATTTAAAAATCCAGTCTCTCCCTCGAAGCAAAAACGTAACAATTCAGCGTTTGATTTTTAGGAATTTTACCACCGTTTATTCTGAAATTAAACCCAGTGTACAACATTCAGTGTTATTGAATGGTAAATCGGGTGGTATATATAAGTACCACTGTTCCTCAGAGGGTTAAACAACTAATTAAATTTGGTTTAGAACATTGCACATACGTCCTTGACTGTCTTAAAAAGGGCCAAAATACATTTTACCTTGTTTATCGATATCCATAAGTTAGTCAGGTTTATGGGTCCTCTGGTAGGCAAATTTCTTAATTTCCAGCGTCGTTGCTGCTAGTGAAAAATTTTACCTGATGCGTTCGCCAAGATGATTGAGACAGCAAGCGCCTCTGAAACGTCGGTAAACATTATTAGACTACACGGTGCTACAACCCTCGTACTCGCCCTAATGGAAACCTCAAATCCTACGAACTGAGAATCGTCTTCACCTCTTTGGATGCTGAGTACCCTGAGTTTTAAATACCAGGTATACGATAATGCACATATTCAGTCCCATTGGACGCAGTTGTGGCTTGTAATAAAAATTTCAGTTCGGGAGTAGACATTTTTTGTGGCTGAGAACCCATAATTTGTAATACTTTGAAGGAGTAGGTGGGGGCCGTGTAGTGAATTATAGAAGTGTGTTTAATCTGTACCATGGGAGTGTCCCCTCGCGGGCCCTTAAGAATCATGAAGGGCGCGGATGAATATTACACTGAACAAACATGGCCTGTGTTCCGTCCCACCTTTTACCCTCACGAAAGATTTTATGTGTGCGTGTTCATTGCAGACAGTAGTTTCTGGTGTACAACGAAATCAGGCCAAGGCAAGGCAAGGCAAGGCTTAGTGACCTGAGATTGGAACTTCATGGCTTTGTGTAGGCCCGTGCGGGTACCAGTATCAGTTTGTAGCGTGCTGTTCGTGGCTGCATTTTTGTTATTAGGGCCGATTAATAAAAACTGAACACACAGATGGTAAGAGTTTTTTTCCAGTTTTTATCTAAATTATTTTATAATATTTTTAATATCGTGACGGAGGTGTGAGTAAAATGTTAAAAATGACTCTTAAAGTTACAGTTTCTGATGTATAATCTAGTTGTTGACCTTTTGTGTAAACGTTGCTGAACATACAGGTTTTAATACCCCAGACTTATGTAATAAAATTCCCTTGCGAAAAAGTTAAGAAAACTACAAACGCGAAACGAAGTAACTTATATTAATATACTTTATTAATATAATAAGGTACTTAAACAATATATTATATTAAGAGTTAAGTACGAAATTTTGGTTGGGACGTTGAAGGCAAGAGTCCACTCGTAACAAGTAGGCGTACATGTGAGGATAATATTGAAATGGATTTTAGGGAAACAGACTTGGAAGGTTTGGATTGGATTGATCTGGCTCGGGATATGAACCGGTAGCTGGATCGTGTAATGAAACTTCTGGTTCCATAAAAGACGGGAAATTACTCGGAGCGTGATATTAGCTTCTCAGGGACGATTAATCTTCGTGGAGTTAATTACTTAGTTAGGATAGAATAGGCTGCAAGCAGGATGTCCGGGGTTCGATTCGCGGCAGAGACAGATTTTCCTTCTTCTCCATGGGGAAGGGATCGTATTGAAGCTGTTTCTCCTCACACAGAATAAACGCCAGAATGTTCCTGCAGTGTTGTGTGACCAGGTCTTGAAAGGCATACACATAGTTGTTTTGTAAAAGATACTGCCAAGTCGTAAAGAACGCCCTATCTCAACATTTATATCTCACGCTATGCCACAAGTCAGTGTAGCCATTAGAGGTTAGTGCTTACCTCCCTCCCTCCACACCCTTTGAGATGGTGGAGTGTGCATTACACTGATTAAACTTCCAGTACATGCGTACCACCGTATTAATATGAAACTTCATTATTTACACGCATTATTAATATTTCATTATTCGCTCCGTTTCAAGGAATGGCTGTCGGCTAACTCTGCTTAACGCTGCCATTAGGTAGACCACCTGCAGTACACTTGCGTTATGCATGCAGGGTTGCATGATAAGTCACCCTTCTGTAATTTTTCTTACGTGTAATACAACTTCAAAAATTAGCTTCTAGGCCTTATTTTAAACTAAATATATTTTACAAAAAATGTCGGTGGTGTTTGTAAATACAGCAGGCTGACAAATTTTGTATCCAAATAAGAGTGAAAAATATATGTAGGCTTATGGGTTGTAGCGCCGTGTGGCCATGTACAGGTAGATACAGACGTTTCGCGGATCATACTGCCTCCATCTTCAGGGCGTTATAGCTCAAAAGATCTTCATCGAAATTTTTATCACCGTTAAAAATCCCAAGTCTCTACAACCAAAAATTTTGTTCGTATGAATTTTCCACGTGCATTCTTTCTTATTCAACATACCTAATCGGTGTAGCAAAATTTAGTACGATACTGAATCTATAAAATAAAATAAAATTCAGAATTCATATTGAATTATAAGGCATTTTGAATCATGAAATATATGTACTTGTGCGTACTCATCAGTACATGACATTAAACCTTTGAAGTCGACGATCGTCTAAATAACATTTAACAATTCAGTCCTTACCGCAAAGAAAACACAACGCGTCTCCATTACAAAGATAAATTGTTTAACACTGTTTAGGGAAATGATCGCTGTTTATTCTGTGAGTCACACGAAACCCACAAATACATCCCGTAAGTGGAAGGCAGGGTTACTGGATGTTAAGACTGTGGTACATATACAGAGTGTCCCAAAAATACGTATACACTTTATAATACGGAATACTAACTTTCTTTGTATATATATTTCTGAGACACTGTGTATATACCAATGTGTTTTTAAGGGATTTAACAGAACTAGGGTGCACACTGAATTTTACCAGGTGCAGGCTTTAAGCAACTTGCTGTTTTAATTTTAAAGGGTTCTAACAATCGGGATTACTAAATTATTGGGCTTTGTCCGTCGTCTGGTATTAAAAAAGAACACGACGTTTCGGAAACTGGGTCTTTTTCCGTCTTCAGGCGAAAACGAAAGGGAAGTGGGCCCAGTGACTGAGGTTAGCTGTTTTTAAGGGACCCAACTGAGTAGGTGCCCCCTTCCCTGTTCACCTGAGGGCGGAAACAGACCCAGTCCCCGAAACGTCGTGGTCGAACTTAACTGTTTGCTTCTTCAGCCCCGAACGCACCAGCCGTTATCCCCGAGGAATGCAGTGCCGAGAACAACAGCGTGACTGTTGCCTGGCAGCCCCCGCCGACCTCATACGTCGAGGGCTACGTCCTGGAGCTGGATGACGGAAGCGGAGGGGAATTCAGGGTAAGTACAAACAGTTAGACGGCGAACTGTACTCCGACTTGCGCGTCAGACTACTTCCGTCCCCGAAGAGCAAGCTAACCGAAGACGTACCATCCTGACACGTACCTGGAACGACGTAGGTAAACCACAGATGCCTCAGCCGGTCTCCGGATCGGCCAAATGGGAGTGCCAGGGGATCAAACCGCGACTTTTTAAAGCCTCGCATGCGTCTGAATCAGTCACGACACCCCCCTATCCAGCCCCCATATCATACTTTCGACGTCTGTGAACGATCAAAGGCCTCGTCCAGGAAGTAACCTGTACAGTGGGAGTTTTCTGGTGCGCGGGCGGATGTAAGCTTCAGGTCGTGACATGGGAGGAACAGACATCGCGATCCGAGGGCCGACCTGTTTCTTCTCGTCGTGTTGGAGTTCCGTAAATGTTGCCTCCTTCCTGACAAACTCCATAGAGCGGAAGTCTTCTGAAGAAGATGATTTTCGCTCATCCAGAAAATAAATCCTCCTCCGAAGGTCCATTACCGTGTTCACAAGATCCCGGAACAGGTCCATATCCTGAGCCAGATGAATCCAATCCACGCCTTACTTTGTTGGTACGTGAGATTTGAGGTTTTCATAGCGGAGAGTACGAAGGTGGCTGGCTGTCTTCTGGGATGTAGCACCGTGCAGTCTGGTAGAATCTGGCCAACGTTTCCGTCGATCTGCAAGGAGAATGCCATTTTAATTGTTGTTAATCTGGCAGAACTGTGCCACAGACTTTGTAAATTCAAAATTTAGTTTCACGCAAATAGTTACAGTGCGTAAAAGAATTATGTAGCTACCAATAAAGATTTATCATCGATCAACTTGCAAAAGATCTTGACTTCTACTTAGAAGATACTTGGTTCGAATTTAATTCTCAGGATTACGCGTTTTACTCAATATTTATAGCGTAGATACCAGCTTGAAATATGGTACGGCGTTTTTTAAATCATTGCCCATCTATTATTATCACCTTGGCGCCTTATTAGATACCTGTAACCTTTCTAGCTGAAACAACGTAACCTAATAATCAATCAACCAAATATTTATCCACCTGGCAATAGTGTTCCTCCAACGCACGGTGGCCATGTTGGTGTACTTTACGATAGTAAACTCGGTGTGGCCCCTACTGCTATGAAGTTTATACTTAGTTCCATGAAATTCGTAGGAAAAGAGGTTACGAAAAAAACTATATACAGGGTGATTCAAAATTTGCTCCGCACGTAGGGCGTGTATGTGCACAGGAACTTTCGAATCACCGTGTATTGAGGCTGCAGATTGGCTGAGTCACCCTGTAGGGTAAGCTTATTGGCCTGAAGCCATATGTTGAGCAGTGTAATAACTCTGGGATGAACAAAGAAGCTTTTCCCCCCCCCGCCCCCGTTAATTGTAAGCTGTCCTAAGAGGAGCGAGGTTAGTCATTCTCATGCTAATAACATGAATCACACTCCCTTCTAACAAGATAATCACATCTCTCGGATGTAATTGAAAACATTTCTTTACTGGACAAGAAAAAAATGCCCGGAGTTTGAAGAACTTTGACAATACTTTTATGAATACAATGTAAGGCGGGATGCTTCTAATCTGATGGCTCTGAGTTCGAATTGTAATGAAGCACTTTCAAGGTCAGGGGTCGGTAACGTTCTGCTTCTTAAATATGCGTGACACATGTGGCTCTGAATCAGTATCTTAAATAACTGTTTATATCACTACAAAACTACTTTGAGCTGTTTTTATTTTCGTTAAAAATTCAATTAATTAGTTTTTATTAGACACCTGGGAAAGCGTTGTAGTCCTGTTGTATAAATTAAATAAAATAATAAAATTACCCATAGACGGTACAGATGAGTTAGTTAAAATCTCTTTCAGTTCGAAAAATATATAACGAGGCTGTCCAAAAAACTTTGTTTTCCCCTTAAAATATCAGAAAACATTTGTTCTCCCTTAAAAATGTTTACCGATCCCTGCTTCAGTTGTTTCTCCGAAACGTCGGTAACCACCTACAACCCAGAACACCATCGTCGACATTTTATCGCCATGAGAATCTCAGATCAGTGTTGTGTTTGTCGTGATTTCGATATCATCTTTAATCTGAGACAGTAACTTGAGTTTCTGCTCCCTGTACCCCATAAGCACCCCCCTCACCCTCCGGAATGTTCAAAGTAAGGGGCCCCAGAGCTGCTGTGACGTCATGGTTTAAGAGTACGTTTGTGATCTCAATTATAATCTAACCCAGACACACCCAATAGCCTGGTTTATCAGTAGATAAAATATGTGAAGTTTTTATAGAGAAATTATCTACAAAAGAAGACTTTACGTAGCAAATTGCAAGTGTATGATGATTACGAATGATGGAGTTGCTCACGGTAACCAAATCCCGAGCAACGCGAACTGTAGAAAACCTCCCCCTAAAACACGATACTATTTAGGGTAAATTTTCTGCTGACACTTTTCGAATTTTAGGCTAAAAATATCACAGGACGTTTCGTCAATAAATAAGGAAATCAGAGATACTAAAATTGTTGAAAACTTTTTTTTTTAAAAAAAACCCTTTCGTTTGCGAGTTTGTATTTCAGGACGTAAATGGAGAAATTTAATTTCCTGAACGAAACTGTGAATATAAACCATTCGAGCTCATGACGCAACTATCCGGTCATCACTACGCATTGACCTTTTTAAATTCCTTACCGAGAAGCTGATAGTCGCACAGCTAGGTAGTGAATCACCCGTCTTTAAAAGACCCTGAACTTCCATTGCCGTGTTTACAAGAAGACACTCCTGAAGGTATTCTGAGCCACACCGTTTTAATATTATCCTTCCATGTACTCTTGGATGTATTTTCTTCATTTCTGCGTGCGCGGTCATTTTGATGGGCCGCTAATATTTTTTATCCGTCGTGTTGGGGGGTCAGTTCTCTCAACTCACACGACATGGCGTGTCGCGACGCGTCCCACAGAGTGCGCATGACCACAGCAGTTGCCCTCGTCCAAACCTTTTACATCGATTACATTTTTGTTTTTCAGTTTATTCCAGCGTCAGATTCGGATTACTAATACGAAAGGACATGACGTCACACACGCCTTTTCTAAATAGTATCAATATTTACCGCAGTGGGCATTGTCGCTTTCGTTGATATCCACTGGTAACTGTGGATGGTCGCCTGGTTTCCAGAGACGGAGAAACTGCGGAAGAAATCGACTTCGTATTGTAGACAGATTTAGAATCGTGTTGAAATTCAACGGGAATGTTTGCTTTCGTACGTTTATCCACTTTATCTCTTCGTGACTTTGTTTTATCCTTATATTCTGTCATAGCAGTAGTGCTTATAAAATAGAACATTTTGCCATCTAGTGACATTACTGTGAACTTTATGCCTCTGAAAGCGCAACCAAACATTAAACTTCCGCTAATATAATAACAGATGATGTGATTATTTCGAAGAGATTGAAAAAATGTTTATAGTTCGTTTCTGTTTTAATATCATTTTGAAGCCTGAATCAACAGTCTGACTAACATAAAAGATAAAACCTTAGGATTATTATAAATGTCTGCAGTATTTACATAAACGCTCCATATTACAACCGCTTCAGAGATATTTCTGGACTTGAAGCTTTCTGGAGCTTTGGATTGTCCGTGTAGCTTAATTAGCGGAATTGATCCGTCTGGGATTATAACGGCACAGTTCCCGCGTCGACTGGGTTTGGGGGGTCGGACATGCAGTCGACTGCTTTGATCACTGCAGCGTTGCTATGGTGATTCGTACTGCTAAGGACTTGATATAAGATACCTTTGATATAACAGCCATATAATACAGGCCTAATTACTGCAGACAAAGATATCTATTCTGATAAACATGATATCGGTTTCGAGATTAAAGTGAAGAAACCCCGATTTCAGAATTGTAATAAATTTCCATCAGATGGACTAATGTGGTTTCTATATTAATTTGATACGTCGTTGCAAATTTGAAATATAAAAGTTGTGTTTCTTTGTAATGTCTATATTTCGTATCATCTCGCATTAGGGATGAAAAAAAATTTTCCCCCAGCAATATGATTAAAAAAAAATGTTGACACATTTCATAAGTCCTCCTGTTTGATTGGGTGGATTAATTAGTGAGTGTTTTTTTTTTTTTTTTTTTTTTTTTTTTTTTTTTTTTTTTGAAATGCGTACAAAGCCTTCGCCTTATTGTCCGCAAACCCGCGTCTTCTAGGCGTTGAGCACAATGTTTCGGTTTGGTTTGCAGGAAGTTTATTGCGGCAAGGAGACGATTTGCACTGTAGATGGTCTCCACTTCAATTCCATGTACAACGCGCGAGTCAAAGCTTTCAACAGCACAGGGGAAGGTGAATACAGTGAAGTCATCGGGCTTCAGACCGCCGAAGGTAAGTTGAAGCCCGCCTGAACTGGAGTACCTTCATCTTAAATAAAAATAATAATAATATAGCAATACCAACTGACACGGAATGTAATTAAGAAGGAATTGGAGGAGATCTTGAAATACAAGGACCTTCTCGTTGAAATGCAGCGAATAATTATAGGAGCAACTGGAACTGTCTCTAAGTCACTCAGAAAATATTTGGCCAAGATCCCGGGCGAACACGAAATCAGGGAACTTCAGAAGACCGTCATTTTAGGATCTTCAGACATCATTCGAAAGACGCTGACGTAAAATATGTAACACGTATTAAAAACTAAATAGCATTTCTGAAATAGCTGCGTACCTCAGGGGCAAGGTTTTTCTCATGATATAATTGGCAGCGTTGGTCTGATAAGGGTTGCTGACATTCGCATCCCTTCGATTCTCCCTCGTCTGTGTATGCCTCGGG